CTCTTGAGTCCTGAAGCTTGAGAGCCAGTGGTATAACTTCCAGTTTCAATCTAAGAGACAGAGAGAGTAAATTCTCTTTACCTCATCCTTGTTTTGTATTCTGGCCTTTAAAGTATTAGGTGAGGCTCAGTCACATTGGGGGCGGTCAATTCACTTTTACTCAGCCTATAGATTCAATTGCTAATCTCACCCAGAAGCATCACCATAGAAACACCCAGAATAATGTTTAATCAAATATCTGGGTACCCTGTTGCCCTGGCAAGTTGACATATAAAATTAGCCATCATAGACGTATTTAAATTTTTTAGCCTATCTTGAATATACATGTTTAATTTTTTCCAATTTCTAAAAAAAAAGAAAGTAACAGAGCAAAACTAAAAATGATACTATTGGAAAATTATAGTTACCGATTTAGAAATTTATCTACAATTCGTAGTATTTTTAATGTATTTATTAAAGTTTAGAAGAGGCAAATATTTTTTTCCAGGGAAGAAGGACTACTTGATTCATTGAGATGAAAAACATAATTATATTTTGGTGTCATATTCTTAAGGCATTTTATCTGGGCTTTATTCTATAATAAACAATATGCATAAGGTTTCTACTTTATTCTGCTTCACTGATCTTATAAAATATCTAGTTTGGGATTCATGTATAAGATTTGTATTCATATTTAGGTTATTATATAATAGGCTTTACTATTGATTTCTATCAATTCTAAATGTATGATTTTAAATTAATGATTAATTTTAAATTAGAGAAATTCAGCATTTTAAGAAAATTATTTTTATTTTTATTATATTGTACCAGGACATAACTATTGAAAGCTTTCATTCGTAGAATAAAATTGTGAATTAAAGACTCTTAAAATGTGCTTTTGTGTAAAATGATCTTTTTAAAATGGAATTTTAAATTAATAGAATAAAGAGTCTATATAAAATATTGCGTCAGGCATTAAAACAGGTAGGACTAGGTTAAAAAATCCAAATAGCAATGATTTTAGTTTAAGAAGGATTAAAATAATATCATTTTGTTGCAAATATTTTACTTTGCAAATAAAATTCAATATTTTCAGACAATATACTTATTCTGAAAATCTTGTAATTCCATAAATATTTTATTTTATTTTGGACATCATCCTCAGTCCAAATGGTATAATTTTCATATTGAATAGTCCTTGAAATTTTTAAATTGAATATTCAGAGAAAAGTGTTTTGATTATAATTACTACTATGCTTCGCTAAATATATTCCCAGACTCCGAAATATTTTGAAGGAGGAAAAAATGTTTGAAAAGTAAAATATTTTATAGATATTTGAATCTAAGTAAGATGTAGAATCATAACTAATTTACTGTGAGCGATACAGATTCAGTTCCCTGCACATTTTAATATATCACAGTAAAGTGTTAAATGAAACATTTTTGAATGCAAAAAATAAAGTATAATGGTATTGTATTATAATATTATAATTATGTTAAATATGTAAAAAATAAAGGGGAGAGATAAATAAAAATTTAATTTTCATTTGTGTGTATGTATATAAAATTTCCATTGAAATTTTATAACAGTATAAACTTGTTCCTGCTTTTTATTTTGGATACTCATTAATAATTTGCATAAGATAGAATTTCCTGACAAAGTGCATGATCTCTGTCTCACAGCACTTACTGTTTCAGCCTGAAAATATATTTGACAATCTTGACAATAGACTAATCTCTCAGGTTTTTTTTCTGAATGTATAAATGTGACAACAGTACAGTATAAAGTGTGGGAGACATTTTATAGTTTATCTCATATATTGTTCTTCACTATATTTATTTTCCCTTTATTTAATTGAGAAATTAGTATAAATTTATTTACAAAAATATACAAAACATGTATGACTTAAAAATAAATGAGAACATTTAAAAACTGTTTAACTGTTCTCAATATTATGTATCTGTTGAGAGTATTTTTATAAAAATAAAGATATAAAGTTATACTCTATATACTACATTTTAACATGAATATCTTACTTAAGTGATTTATGTCCAACAGTATTTATATATATGTGAAATAATACTGTTTAAAAAAAGAGAAAACATTTGTTTAAGGAACATGTCGAAATTCTAGCGATTTAAAGAAAAAAAAATCCATGTTTCTTTTTTCTTATTTTATGATTTAGTGAGCACGGCAAACAATTTTCACCAAATGTGATGAATATCATAATAGGAAAGTGAAATGTGCTTTACACTTACAGAGCAGGCATGTCTATTCTAATCTACAGAGTCAGGGAAGACATCTCTAATAAGAAAATTTTTAAATTAGATATGATAAATATTTAACTAGAGGAAAATGCAGAGAAGAGAAAAGGTGTTAAAGAGTGAGGGAAACATGCCAATGTCAGGTATGAAAACTGGAACAGATCTTCTGAGAAATGAAGAAAATAAAACAAGGCAAAACAAAACAATTGTTATATATAAAATGCATAGAGAAGTGGGTAAAAGTGGTTAGCTATACATCTGGACTTGAGGACAAGATCATAGAAAACATGTAAATAAGGTTATAGGGTACAAACAGTTAGATTAACAATACAAATAAAGATTATTTTGTAAAAGAATATTATCTCCTTTGATAGAAGAGGCTTAGTGAACACATACACACAGTTTGCCCAATATAATACTGAAATTTTCACGAGACCAACCCTGGTTTGTAAGACTTTTGATTCATGGTTCTTATGCACTGTACCTTACTGATTGTTCAACTAGAAGTAGCAGGACCAGATTTGTGATATAGAAAAATCAACTTCTTTAATATGGAAAATTGTTTAGAGTAGAGCAAGGGAGAGGCAGGCATCAGTTAGGAGATTGTAGGGGAGGGAAGCCAAAACAAGGATGGTACCTGTGAAGATAGAGACAGATATATGGGTCAGGAAGATATTTCAGAGAAGAAAAGGCTGCAAACAGTTGTCTTAACACTGGGCTCAAAAGTGATGGAGGAGTAAAATATGAATCCCAAGTTTTTTTTAAAAAAAGATTAAATTAATTCACAGAGGGAAAGGTGGAGCAAAGATGTAATGGAAATTGTGAAGTATATGATGGATGACAATATAGCAGGGGTGGGCTAGTTAAGACTCAAGTTTCGAGTATTAGGTTTGTAAAAATGTTAAGACTTTTTCCAATGTATAGTGTCTGTGACTCCATCATTCATTTACTTGTTATAAATACCCAGCGAATGGACTTTCATTTTAAGAATTTTATTTTCAAGATAGGTATGTATCAGAAGGAAGGTAATTTATGAAACAATCCTAATATTTTCATTAAATTATATGACCACTGGAAAAATTTGTATGTTTTATATCACTTGAAATTTTAAATGTCCATAAAATATAACAATTTCCAAAAAACGAAAACACTGTTTGAAAGAGTAGCCTCCCAAAGTCATATAGAGAATAATCTGTGAGATTAAAATTCTCTCTCTGACTGGTGTCTCTGATGATAGAGCCTGTACATCTACAAACAATATTATACTGAAGGAAAGTAGAATTACTTTAAAATTGCAGTATGTATCCTAAACTTTTTATCATCATAAGTTCAGAACTTCCTCACAGCACCTCTTTGAGTTGAGTTTACACTCATGATCTAGGTTAATAGACTTTTTTTTTATTATTAATGTACTAAAGGTTTAAATCTTTATAGCAACCTATTTAAAAATATCTTGGAAACATTGTGTTTTGAAAAAAAAAGATTCATTTTCATATTTTAAAGTTAGTCCCTTGAGATGTATAATATATTTGTTTAAAGTTGTTGAGAATAAAACTGAAATGCTTAGTTTCCCCACAGTAAAAATTAAGATAATGATTGCAATCATTGTTCCAGTGATGTTATATGGAGACAAATTGATATGTGCCAATTTTTTTCCTGTCAAAACAACACATGTATTTATAGAACTCTTCTTTTCTACTTTTCCAAAGCTTCACACTGACCAAGATAAAGGAGATGGAAATTTAAAATACATATTAACAGGAGATGGGGCTGGCAGTCTATTCGTTATAGATGAAAATACAGGAGATATTCATGCAGCAAAGAAATTAGACAGAGAAGAAAAATCCCTGTACATTCTTCGTGCCAAGGCTATAGACAGAAAGACCGGGCGGCAGGTGGAACCTGAATCTGAATTTATTATTAAAATCCATGATATCAATGACAACGAACCAAAATTCACAAAAGACTTATACACTGCCAGTGTTCCTGAAATGTCTGGAGTTGGTAGGTACATGTTAATCAATGTAAACTAACTTTTCTATTTGCTTGTTTGCTAAGGTATTTCTTATGGACATATAGTTATGATATATTGCCTATTTTAAGATAAAAAGTATAACTGAAACTATTTAGTGTTAGCTATCTTACTTCGGATTATTTTCAGTTTTATGTATCTGAATGTTTCCTATTATGTCGTAATTGATGCCTAAAATGATTAGTACTGGGAATAGTTCTTCCATTACATTTCAACCAATGTTTTGATCTCTACTCAACTGCCATTCAGATGGCAGTCAAGTTGGATATATTTTTGCCTGAAATGAAATGAAAGAAATATCAAATAGTGTCAGCAGTTTTGGATAGTTTTTCTTGCATTATTTTGCATAATAACAGCTAATGCTTGCATTTGACAAATTTCTTTTGATTGTCTCATTTGATCATTGAAACAATGTAATGTGGTAGGCATGGGAAATAGAACCTTAAATCCCCATTCTATTAATTAGGAACCTAGAATTTAAGAAGATTAAACAACTGAATTAAGATTAAAAAAACTGGTAGTATAACAGCAATACTTCAAGTCTTTTTATGTTATTTTAGTTAGATCTCACTACTGAATGACTACTTATCATGCAAACTGAGAATAACTGTTTCATTTTTTTAAGGCTGCCCATGCCCATAATTTTAAATACCATTTGTTATTATGCAATGTTTTTATCTGTATGGGTGATTACATTTAGCTCTATTTATATGAAAGGTTTAGATTCATTAATGAGATTGTAAGAGCTAATTCTTAAATCCTAATAGATTTCTAAAAAAAAAAAAAACTATTAATATAAACAATCCAAAATATGCAACTGATTTTCAAAAGTTGATGCTATTTAGTTGAATATTATTTTAAAATCAGTTTTAAGTATATTTTGACATTATTGAAATTAACACATTACAGTCTAAAATAATTTCTTTAGAGGAAAAAAAAACCTATATCTATCTTTATTGAGTGATTGATGTAAAATATTTCTTAATTCTGTTCCATCTAGCCAGAAGAACCAAGAGTTTATGTAAAAAAAGTTATAATTCCCTTTTACATCAAATGAAATCTCATCTGTCTGAGAAAAGTGCAGTTCTTTTCAGGCATTCATTTCAAAAATATAAAAGAGACTTATCAAATTAGATAGGAGTCCTTTGAAGTCATAAAGCCTAGAGTGAAACATGAACAGTTGTGTTAGGCTGGTACAGTTCCATGGAAAGTATTAGATGGATCCATAGAGGTCAACCAGTGAGCTAATGTAGATATACACCATGATCTCTGTTTGGTCTTATATTTGAGATGCCGAGACATCTAAAACTATACTCTCCATTTCAACTTCCAACTGATGAACTTTCTAAATTCGTTTGTTTTTTTGTGTAATGCCCTTTAAGTTTTGTAAAACCTTATAGTTTTTCTTGTGTATATGTTATTTTGTCAGGTATTTTGACACTTAATGGTATAAAAATGTTCACTTATCTTTTTCTGAAAAAGTTTGATATACCTATAGGAATAAAAAGCATAATTAAGAAGACAGATATTTAAATTTTTATAATAATTGATTTAAATTTGAATAACTTTTAAAAATTTCAAAGTGTTACCTCATTTTTAAAAACAATACTTACCAGAGACTATTGATATTAAAACTAAATTAATCTGTGTTTTATCCAAGATTATTTTACATATTTAATAGAATATTATCATCTATCTACCTAATTCAAATATATTCTTTCCTATCTGAAATACTAATATAGTCTAGATTCTAATAATATTTATCAAGTGAATGATAATATCAGGACTGGACTAAATATTTCTATATTTTATTTTTAAAAACCCTTCTCATTCAATATTCATAATAAAACATAGGATATATAAGTTTATGCATGGAAGAAGGCTTAAAGATCATCCTGTCAAAAAAAAAAAAAAAAAGCCCACAAAATCTTTCATGTAAAGAAGTCTATACTTCATTTATATAAGCTTTAAATTGTGGGCAGTACAATTTATGACTATCACAGGCCTTAAAAATAAGAATTAGTGCCATTGCCAAATGCATTCCCTCCATGTCTATAATTCCCCCTCCAAAAACCCTTGAAAAACATAGTGCAGGCAGCAATATGCCTAATATACCTCTGGTGGCACAAAATTAATAAAAATTTAAGAACTACAGGTAAATATCGGTCCCATTTTTAGAGGATAGTTATTATTCTTTATTACTAATATTGACATTACTATATTAATTGCTTTCTCCTTTACATGTGTGTCTATTTTTAAATATAAATGCTTATATCTATATACACAATATATATATGGAAGATATAATACTTGGTTTAATCATCTCTCTTAATAAATAAGTGAAAATAAGCCCAAAAGAATTAAACTGACTTACCCCCCAAAACACAGAGATAGCTTATTACTAATACTAATATAAGAAAAGATCAATGTAGAAATATCTCAATAATTTTAATGCTTTACTATTTTTCTCCACTGTAAAATAGTCACGCTTATTATGCAAAACATAATTTGGAAAACTTCTAATTTTATTATATTCTAAGTAACTCCTTAAAATCAGCATGTTTCTTATTTTATTTCTCATTTTGTATTTTTTTTTAATTCACATGCTACCCTTTTGCGGATGTGATTTTCTCTGCTTTTTCCTATAGAGATAATCACTTACAGAAAGAAACTAAAAGGTGATACTTAGGAACTCTGTCAGGCTGTATGTAACCCATATGTTGACAGTTAAAGCCTGTGTATAATCAAATAATAAAGAAATCCTCTATAAATGAAGTAATGCACAATGATTTAATTCTAATATTATTTTTATAATATTAATAATTTTCATTGAAATCAGGATTGAGAAACTACTATCATTAACTTAGGGGGTAAATAAAATCTAATAAAAAATGAAATTTCTTTATAATTATTCTCTTTCCAATGTTATCCTTTGATACTCTGTACTGTCTCCTCATTTTTGTCATAATATATTTCTTTTTTTCTCTCTCATTAACTTCTTCTTGCTTTTTCTCTCTCGTCCTGTTTCTTTCAAAATCATATGCCATATTCCATTTTAATTCTTTGAATCATGTGACCCTCAGCCTTTTTAAAGGTAAATGGCTACAATTAACTCTTAAATCTAAAATATGTTAGCATCTTCTGATCAGAGCATATAATCTGGGTGATATACGAGGAGGATACATAACGAAAGAAAATGAGATACACTTTGATTTAAATATTTGTAGCAGAGCCCTACCTTTAATATTTTCAATTTTCATGGTCATTATATTTTTATTATAGATTATCTATCAACTTTCAATATTTGCATGCCTTCATTCTTCATCTAAGCAAATTACCATTGTGTAAATGTGGAGGTTTTGGATGCATACTTTCTCACTGACTGGGTATTTCTCCTAACTGGTCCCTCAAAATCTTATCCAGTTCTCCTTCTACACCATCTCTCAAACAAGAAATTCCTGCACAGTTTTTCCATAGATCATACAAACAACTCATCAATGAATCCTTCATGTCCTAATCCTGGTCCAATCTTAGAGGTTTACTAACAAGGAATTCCTGCACAGTTTTTCACAGATCACACAAACAACTCATCAATGAATCCTTCATGTCCTAATCTTGGTCCAATCTTAGAGATTTACTATCTGTGGTTCAGTATGTAACATGTCCAAATGTACTCATCATGCCAGACAGGCCACTTAGCAAATTATTTAGAATGGAGCTTCTTTCCTCAAATTGGCTAGGTCGAACCCCATCCCCATCACCTTCTAGGTGTGTGATCATGAGCCACCTCTATATATCCCAAAACCTACATGCCATTTTTATCATTAGGATAAAGAAATAACACAAATCAATTGCTGAGAACTCTGCCTAGTCTACATTAAGTATTCTGTAAATGTTCTTGTGATGACTTTGAGCTAGAAACTCTGCTGGGCTTTAGAGACAAAATATTGAAGAAAGCAGATATGGCCCCTACCTTTGGGGACCTCACATCATTCAGGGCAAAACCTATAAATAACAAATAACACAAACTTGTTAATCAGGCTTCACTATATTTTACTTAACTTTTAAAAATCTTTTGTTTAATATAAAAGTAAAATATTTATTTTAAATTATTTGAGAACCAATGAATATTATAAATATCTCAGAAAATTTAGAGGAATATAATGTTCAAAATGATGCATTTCTTTTTAATCTGTCTTTATAAACAAATATTTATAAAATTAGTATAAAACATATAAAGCAATATCTATGAAATTTTATTAGTAAATAGCATTAACTGTGTAATTAGTCCTTACATTTATGGGAAAAAAGAAAGAACCATCCATGTGCTAAAGTCCACATAGTAGATGTTTCCTTTTTTCTTTTTGCTATCATAAATATCAATGATATGCTATCAGTGTTTATCAATGTTTAACAGCACTCCATATTATTACCATGATTCTGAGACATGGGATAGTATTTTAGGTGGGTGTTTGTAGCATTAGAGCCACATTTTAGGATTAACTTTTATTATTTTTATTTTTTTGGTCAAGTATTTTTGGATAAATTTAAAGATCATATACTCACAATAAAGAGCAAACAATCAAAATCAAATTCAATAAAAAAATATATTATTTCAAGTGTCAAAATGGTACACAGGAGTTTTTCTCTGTGCCCATAGTGAAATGATACCCACAGTAAAAGAAAAATAAAACTGGTGGCCAAAGAAATATCATAAAACTGATGAATTAACTACTTGAAATTAGTATATCAGTTATGATTAATAATTCATATTTTGAAATAATCCTCAAGTATGAAAACAATTTTACTCTAATGTATGTTCATATAGGATTATATAAAAATAATTATAAATCAGAAAAACTTTAGTTGAAGTTCTGAAGATTATTTGGTTGGTGAAAACTATCGTTTTTGCTTTGGTCTAGCTAGGACATCAGGACATGAGTGGATATTTTTTAAATGATAGAAGAGTACATCTGGAATTGACTGAGTTGTAGTGTATCCTCTCACTGGACATATCAATTCTGTTAAAGCTGAGAAAACAGAGGCCTTAAGAGGAAGAACTCAAGTTCTCATCTTTTGATAATTAATTTTGAGAACACATAAAAAGACTTGCTAAATTCATGCATTAATATTCAAATATATTGATAGAAAATGAGCTGTTAGTTTAATCTTAATGTACAATACATTAATTGTTAGAATTTGCATTCACATATGCATGCAGATTTTGAGAAATAATTCACTACAACTCAATTACGCAAGTTATGAGTGTGTAATATATGTGCAGTATTAAAGTAGGAGACAGGCCCAATTTGGAACTCTCCTGTCCTAAAGAATATTAACACCTATTTGAGTCAAATATTTGAAAATTATATGTAGTATACTGGAAAATGTCATAGAAATTCATTCTGCCCAAGGTAGGCTTTAGTTAATAGTAAGTTTACAACCATGCTCTGACTTTCTGTAGAGATCTAGTGAACTATAAGAAAAGTCTAGCACTATATTGAATTGTGTTTAGCTCCTGAAGCTAATTTCTTTAATTTTTTTTATTTTTCATTTTCTAAAGATGATTAGTGACAAAGTTAACATCCCACGATATCAGCGGTAATTTTTCACAAAGATAGTTTCTAATTCAGAAAATGTAAGTGTCTGTGTTTGGGCGGGGATTCCTGTAGGTACATCTGTTATACAAGTGACTGCAACGGATGCAGATGACGCCAACTACGGAAACAGTGCCAAAGTGGTCTATAGCATATTGCAAGGACAGCCTTATTTTTCGGTGGACCCAGAATCAGGTAACGTTTAGTACCTGGGCATTTTCTCATTATGTAATGCATCTGGATGCACAATTCATTTGTAGACTTTTCTGTGTTTTAAAAGGTATCTATTCAGTATCATGTTTCTACTTATTCTCTATAGTTATTACATGGAAACAAAAGCAAACTTCCTATTATTGAAATACATTGAATCATTAGCTCTTTGGACTATTTATTTTGTTTAAATTTATGACACTAAATACAAAGTTTCACAGAGGTTCAGTACTTTATGTGTCATAGGAAATACTCAAAATCTAAAGAATGTGGCAATCATCAAAATTAAGAAAGTTTATGCATCCGACAATTTTTGATTGAAATTTGTTTTAATCAAAAGGATAATCCAACTGATTTTGAAAAATTCACTTCCTGAACAGTATCCAATGGAAGAATTCCTTCTGTTTTGTTCATTATGTTAAATTGGTTATGGATTGAAATATTTATTTAGATAAACCACCATTTTATCTGTCTGCTGTCATTAACTTCTGTAATATGGATCCTGCATAGCACAACTTAAGATAAAAATCAGTGGTTAAATTGTAAAATATTTGTCTACTTTTCCAAAAGGCATAATAAAAACCGCATTACCAGACATGAGCAGAGAAAATCGAGAGCAGTATCAAGTGGTTATACAAGCCAAAGACATGGGCGGCCAGATGGGAGGTCTTTCTGGAACCACCACGGTGAACATCACTCTGACGGATGTCAACAACAGCCCTCCTCGATTTCCCCAGAGTAAGGAAGGTCTTGGTGGCCTCATGCCAGAAGCCTTCTCCAACACACGACAAACAGAGGCTAATATTTGTACTAATGGTTTCACTGCTAGTTTATGCATAAAGGCCAATCTACAACCTTTGTCCCTACAAGATAATAATGATTTCCCACAAACTGAAAGTCACCATGATCATTTTCATCAGTGAGTAGGTAGTAAAAGAAAACATAAAAATGAGGTTCTTTTGGCAACTTTAATTATTCTCTTCTACCTTTAGAAGAGTTATAAAGTTTTCCAGACTACCTTTCTCAACATGTGCTGTGATCATCTCGTTCTTTTTCTTATCTCTTTCCTGGTTAGGAGTGCGGACGCTCAAGTCTGCCTACCTGGCTTCAAATCCCATGTCTGCCATTTGTCTTGCCTCAGTTCTCTTGTATGTACCCAAGAATTATAATCCCTTATTTAATCGAGTCTAAAACACAGACTTGATGCTTTAGCATCTCTGAAAATCAGATACTACATTAAAATCAATTAATGTTGGTTCAATTGGAAGTATTTTTTTTTTCTTTTCTTTTCTTAGTGGCCCATAGAGTTACAGTATACCTTGATTGTGATGGCATCTGAGACATGTTAAAGTTTGCTGGTATCTGCTACCTACCTGTGAAGGTTAAAACAGTTAATACTCTTTCAGTTGTCACCTTTTTAGGCATGCATGTTAAACCATGGATGCTTTGCATACTATGAGGTCCTACAAAAACAGATTTTGATGCTCTGATGAAAATGTTTCCATTTTACAGAAAATAAAAGTATAAAGGTCCCTATCTTAAAATGTTCAATTAAGGGATCCTCAAATTTTAAGTTATGACATTGACTCCAATCATTAAAGCATTTTTCCAGGCTAGTCAAATTTAAATCATTTAATAATCTAGCTTTGGATGGTGGACTTGAAAATAAGATAAATGTTAAAAAATAAAGATTTTCGAGAGCGTGAATAATGAGCTTAATTAACATAAATCTAAATTTTGCTTTCAATTTCCTTAAATATAAACTGAAAAAAGTATGATTTGATGAATTCTCAAATGGCTCTCCATTCAATAATTATATGATCTATTATAATCTTAACAAAATATTTGGAACTATAATAGTAACAGTACAATTATTCAAGAAGTAACCCCTGAGCTAAGCATATTAAAGACATAATTTTAGGCAATCTTCATAACAAACCTATGAGTTAAATGGTATCATTATCAATGTTCTTTCATAGATGTAGAAGTAAAGGGTTACAGAATTTAATTAACTTGCCCAGTGATGAGAATTTAAATCCAGTCCTTCTTTTTCACTACTGGAAAAATAACAGAATTTGAAGTGTGAGAGCCTTAGTTTTGCATTCTACTTTCTCCAGTTTTACAAAATGATTTCCTTGAGCCCTATCCTGGGGGTAATATACCTTCCTTGGTCCTATGAGGACTAATGTTAAAATTAAATAAGTTAACATAGAGGGTCATTAGCCTTATATAGAGTTCAGCATGTAATGTTTAAAAACATTTATTAACTTTTTTTGTAATATTTCTAATTTGTATTTTCAATAAATAGTCACAAACTAAAATGCAATGTAATGATTGGCTGGAACTGCATCTCATTTAAAGCCATTCACATGTAAAAAATTTCTGTGTACTTCTTTATTTTTCTATCCCTGACTTAGAATATAAAAATGTGGTTAAAAAGGCAAGAAACCAAATATTTACTGCTTATCTAGAGCTTTCAACATTGTCATTACAAATTTTATGTATATTAAGTTATTTAAAAGATTTATTTAGTTTCTTGCCCTGTTAAGTCAAATTCTGGATTCTAATATCTAGACAACCTTGGGACATTCACTTAATTTTTCTGGAACTTATATTGCTCACTTACAAAATAAGAGTGTTCTGCCTTTATAAATTATTTGTCCAACTTAATAAATCTCTATTTTTTGACAGCGTACAATTCAATATGATTAAAAAAAAAAAAAAAAACCTCTCCCAATTTAAAATTAATTTATTTAAGTAAAATAGGCAAAGGAAATAAAGGACTTTGTTGTCTAAAGATGAAATGTCAAAAGAGCTCTGATTTAATTTTCAGGTACGTATCAATTTAATTCTCCTGAGTCTGTACCTCTTGGAACCCATCTTGGAAGGATAAAAGCCAATGACCCTGATGTGGGGGAAAATGCTGAAATGGAATACAGCATTGCTGAAGGAGACGGAGCTGACATGTTTGATGTCATCACTGACAAGGCTACACAGGAAGGGATTATAACTGTCAAACAGGTTTCTTTTTGCTGTCTTCATTTTTTCATTGAACACTTTATGGTTTATTTTTGCTTTTCAGTTAAGGGAAGAAAAGCCTCGGATTTATTTTCCCCATTCTTTACATGCTGTCTATCCTTCATGTAAGTGGGAATAGTTGTGATTTCACTTCAAGTAAGTTAAGCACCTTCATCACTGACACTTAAAAAAGTGATATAAAACCTCAACTGCTTGTGCTTTTAGTAGATGACAATCAAACTAGGATTAGATAACCTCAAAAGTACTTGTTTTTTGTTTCTCCATGGCAGAAAAAAGTAGACAAGCATCCATCACTTTAATTCATGCACTCTTCAACATATTTAAACTGTTAAATGTGATGGTCTATTCAAATAGATGGAATCTGAAGATGTTATGTGTTTTCTGTTGGATTTCTTGATTTTTAATGCACTGTGAGAGAATGTTATGAAGCTTTACATAGACTATTCCGGCTAAATATTGATTATATTGTCTTGATTACTCTGCTTTCATTAGCATCTTTCTTATCACCGTGTTCAGTTAGAGAAATGATTTTTCTCTTTTTAGAAATGCAGAACCTAAAAAAGCAACTTATATACATAAATAGTTTGCTAAATCACAACTTTATTCCAAGATTTCCTCTGATTCTAACTTCATATGACTTTAATAATAATAATAAATAAATAACCTATATGTGACCACTAAAATGTGAAATTCATTACTAAGTAGGAATTAATCTTAATGTGTATACCATTATATTTACCATTATAGTTACTCCCTATATAGAAGTATAAGGCAAAACAAGTATTTACTAATTTATTTGACATACATATAAAGCAATAATTGGGAAAATTATTTAACCAGGATTATTGGTACCATTAAGAGAGCTGGTTATTAAATTTTGAAATTAGCTTCCCTTGTTATGTCTGCTGTATTATAGTAATTTTTCTTATTTTATTTAACTTCAGAACTTAGACTTTGAAAACAAAATACTGTACACTTTAAGAGTGGTTGCCAGTAACACTCATCCTGATCCACGATTCCTACACCTGGGACCTTTCAAAGACACAGCCACGGTCAAAATATCTGTGGAAGATATAGATGAGCCTCCTGTGTTCAGTAAAATTTCTTACCTGATAGAAGTAGATGAAGATGTAAAGGAGGGCAGCATCATTGGACAGGTTACAGCATATGACCCAGATTCCATGAACAATTTAATAAAGTAAGTATTTTGAGAAAATTTAAGTTTTCAAAAAAAACCATATTTTTAGTATTTAAAAGTTGTGTGAAAAAAACATCATCATACAGTGTATGATCAAGTACAAACACTTCCATACCACAAACTGTAAACTGTAAACTGTCTTCTAAGTGCTTTGGCTATACTATTTTATTTGACTCATCACTTTACAAGGTAGATCCCATTATTATATATTTCTGCAGATAAGACTAAGGCATGGAGCATTTAAGTCAATAACTAGCCCAATAATTAGTCAGTGGCAAAACTGGATTTGAAAATCAGGCTGTCTGGCTCCAGAGTTTATTTTAATCCCTTAGCTGTTGTGATTCTGTCTCAGTGTCTCTCTTGGATAAATGATTGTTCAAATAATAAGTAATCTAAGCAAATAAACTAGAAAAAAAATTGTCCTGGAAATGTTATAGATACTTTGAAAATGTTGAAATATCTTCTTTTGAAAATAGTCACTAGGCATACCATATGTCGAAATTTTGGGAAAACAATATGCCAGTTGTATTCTAATAATAACACAGAATTAGTAAAGAAAGTAATATTTGAGAATGGTAAAAGTATTAAAAATTAGTTTAGAATTGTATAGTATAGCGTAATACTTTCCCAAAGGTTGAATATTGTAAAAACTATTTGAAAGCTTTCAAATATTCCAGAAGCTTAAATGAATCTGTATATGGTGCTTCAGAAGAATGTAAATATAGTTGTGACATAAATGGGATAAATAGGATGGGTGGACGAAGATGCATAGATATGTCAATGAAGACACAGCGCTGAAATATAGATAAATAATACATTATCTGTTAATGTGTGCCTAGTAAGGGCATAAAATGGCTGCTTTACAACTTAATTTTTTAATTAAGGAAAATAAGTGGTTAAATTATTAATGAGAATTTCCAAGGTCATGTTATACTATCACACGTAGAAAATTAAAAAGCACAGTGCAAAATATACAATCATTTTTATAAGTTGTATTGAGTATTGACTATTCAATAGTTAACTTACGAAGCAATATTTTTGCACTAAATATATCATAATGTATATTTAATTTGTTGGTTGATTAATATAGTATAAGTCCATAAAGTTTTAATCTGTAGTTAATATTAGATTAAAATATTGGGTTAATTTTAGGTTAATTAGAATATAATTTAGTCAACTTTCTCTTTTAAATAAATGTTCGGGTTCAAATTATGTATGTTGCATATTACTTTAAAAATATGACTTATAATACAAATACATAGATAATTTCACTCAATTTTTATCATAAGATGCATTAATTTAAAATGCCCATATTATATAAAATAGAACTAAAATGAAATAAATAAGTAATCTAGTTCTCCAGTGGTCTATATATATGTGCTAGTATGTTTATATCCAAAATAATGTTTGTTTGTATTTTATTGAAATCATATCCAGCTGATTGGTTTTGGCATTTCTTATATGTGCATTTGTTTTGTTTTAAAAAGGAACAATAGAAAGTTTCAAATATTTTTTTGTGTTTGCAATATTGCAACGGAAATAAACACCACTTATATTTAATAAAAAGATAAGACATAGTTCATACCAATAGCTATAACTGCTCAATGAAATATCTGTCATTGATAGTTTTTGCCAGATTCTCTCCTAAAAAATAGTAATCAATGATGGCTGTGCTTTCATTTCTCCCTAGTTTGTGGCACCAAATGCTTATATTAAATTCCACATTTATGGTTTTTAAAAAGTCATCGATTGTAACTTTTATCAACTACCATTGTTAGAAAGTTGTAGATAAGTGGCAGCATATTAACTCTTTCAGATGAAGAACCATTTATTGCCAAACTATTGAGCATTCCTCAGTATGAATAAGAGCAGATCTTAATAATCTGTGTATCCTATCCTCATTCATTTAGTACTATATCTTGCATACTAGGAATTCAATGAATGTTGGTTAACTTAAGAGAGGCACCCAACTTTCTTATGTTGCCGAAGGTATTTGTTTATTCAGAGAACATCAAAAGTTTCATCAAGCTTTAGAAGTTTAACACTCCATTCTACAAAATGTTTTCATTTATCATGAAGTCAACTAATAAACAACAAAGTACGTGTTCTGTTATTCCGAATGTGCATCAAATTTATAACATGAGACTCAAATATTTTGCCCATCCTTTTCTCCATAAATATTTATCATTTACTGAACACTTGTTATGAACTACAACTATCTAAAGAGCTTTATATTTATTAGCTTATTTAAGCCTCATCACAGCTTTATCTGGTACATACTGTTGTTATCATCTACATTTTATAGAAGAATACACTGAGATGAAAAGAGTTTAAGGAACTTTCCCCAGCACATAGTACAAATTATCAGACTGAGGATTCAAACTATTGTTAATCTAAATACATAGCCAATTCCTTAGCAGATATACTTTGCTTTCCTAACAATCTTATTAATTGAAGATAATTGATATAAGGTTCTCCTTTGCAGACTAATTCAAATGACTTCAGTGGTACAAAACAGAACCCTCAAAAACAAAAAAAAGACAAAACGTGGCTTTTGTTTCTCGAAATTTGGTCTAGTTTCTCTTCGCTTTTTCCATTACCCACAATAGAAAATTTTACAAGCTCACAGTCTAGGCATGTATACTTAGAAAATTATGGCTTTATTTTTATTCTTCATTTTTGGCAAATGTATTGAGGTATTATTGACCAAAAATAAACTGCACAAATTTAAATTGTATGACTTGATATACTTTGGAATACTCATATGCCCCTTAAAACATCACATATCTAGCTATCTTATCCTCCTTATCTCATGCCCTTTTGTAATTCCTTTCTCTTAAACTTCCTGGAACCCAACCCCATCCCCAGGCAAACGCTAATCTGCTTTCTATTAATATAGATTAGATTAGATTAGATTAGATTAGATTAGATTAGCTTGAATTTATATAAATAGAATCATACAGTATTCTCTTTCGTCCCTTTTTTCACTTAGCATAATTATCTTGAGATTTTTCTATGTTGTTCTGTGCATCAATAGTTTGTTATTCTAATTGCTGAATAATATCTCAGCATATGGGAATACCACAGTTTGTTTATCTATTCACTTATTGGTTGACATTTTGAGTTGTTTCAAGTACTTGGATATTATACTACATTTATACACATTCGTATCCTTAACTACTTTTTTATTAAGTGGAACTCATATGTTATACATATAAGTATGTATTTTATTAGTTATAATATTTGCTAATATCATTAACTTCTTGATAAACTTTTATTGTATAAAATAACATACTATTATGTAGGTGGTACAACATTGATAAAAATTTAGATTGGAGACGTACATATACACACATACACACATATATATCCTTCCCCGTATCTGATAATATCATCAGGTTATAATTTCTTAAGTAAAATTTCTGGGTCAAAAACTGATTTGCAGCCTTGCTCCACAGAAGTTAAAAATGGCTGATACATTTTTAAGTGCATAATTCTCCTAGAAATATTTGTTTTTTATGGGCTACTCAAGTTTTGAAAAGACAGCAAATAGTAATTTTATCTTTAAAATATCAAGAATTATGGCAGAAAAAAATATTGAGAGAACAAATTAATCTCAAATTATGTTTCTAAAATTATACTGCCAAGTCTTCCAATATATAAGGCACGCTTGAAAATATAGTGTATAGGCTGATTCCTGTTAACACAAAAACATATGCAAAAAAAGCTGTAGATATACAATTATAGTGTGAAAAACCAGCAATAATCTAACAAGGAGGCGACATTGTGGTAGGTGACTTTTGTTTGCTCTGATAGAATTTAGAAGGCTGACTGATCCCCAGAGCAAAATAGACTATGATAAGCATCATGGAGAAACATTTTTCAGGGAAAGCTTGGGAACTAATTCTCACTCACCAGTAAATCTGTTCATCAAACATATTTTCTGAAATACATCTGCCACTTGCAACATAAGATTATGGTTACAATTAGCAGCTGTTGTCAGCTTGCTTCACCTCATAAGTAATCATGAATTTCCCAAGTTATAGGATTGATTATAGCTCTACAGGTTCCGAAAAAAACATGTTGTCTCATTTTATACCTATTTTATGCTCACCATATTTAAAGTTTAACAAATTTTTAAAGAAATCCTTTTTACTGCAGTCGAATCGTGAAATAAATCCAAGACAAAGTTGCTAATGAGAAATTAGTTATGCCTCAATAAAATGTACATAATTCCATCATAAGCTAGAATTAGTGCATTCATATATGTGTAACTGCTTGCCTAATATTTGCTTGATTTTATTACAGAGAATAAAATAATCATTTTAAAATCATGTCACTAATATCTGGAAAAAAAATAGAACTATTTGTTCAAACATTATATAGCCACATTCTTTTGAAAAGGACTGAAGGTTTCATGGCTCATAGCTAGACAACACATTTTTAGAAAGCAGTACCTGGGAAGAGCAAACCCATAGCCAAATTATTTTAACTTAGTTGATGGATGATGGACCTGGAATTAAGTAAAAAATAAAGAATGCTATCTTTGACATATTTCTGCATATTATCTATGTGTTTTGGTGTCTGTAATTTAATTTACTTTTTTTTGCAGTAGATGGAAATACAGGGATCTGATATGTGTTTAACTGTTAATGGTGGGAAATAAGAAACAAAAGGCAACTAAAAACAGAGTTCAACTTTCACAGGCTCAGTTCCCTTGTAATCTTTTTTACTTGTTATTTGACACCTGTGTGATTGGATCCTGTCTCTGCAGAAGGCATTTATTAAAAAAATTAGGCCAATGATCTTTTTTAAAAAAAAATGTTCAAATTCAGTGTAAAGGGATCAATAAAATAGTGTTTTAATAGGCCATCCACCAGAACATAAAGATAGTTTTGTCCTGTGTTAAGTATTTATCAGGCTCTTTCTGCTCATTTGTTGTAATCCGGTGCATTTATTATTAATAGGTTAACCGGAATAGCCTGTTCTGCATTGAAAATAGAACATTGGCTGCTAAGTAAAAAACAATTATCCCTGGGCTTTGAAAACTTCAGAACATTATTTTCACCGGGGCAAATTTCTGAATATAGACTTGGATGTTTGCAATGTTAATGTTAAAGTGAGCTATTTCTAAATCATCAAAGTGATATTCCTTCACAAATTCTTAACTTGAAAACAGCGCCTAACAGGGTGGAACCTAAGAATAATGCATCCCAAATTCCAACCTGTTTTTATTCCACATAAGCTCCAAGTGAGTGAAAGATAAATTTGTATAATGTTAGAATTGTTAGCCATCCTTCAATCATAGAAAGCCCCCATGCTAATCTCTAAGGCAAGCGGCAATGAGCACAAAGGTATTTACTTCCACTTTGATCTTAATGTGAACAGTAGGAAGAAATCCAAAATCTATTTGGCCATAAGCAGATAATGGTTAACTATTGAACTTTCTGACAGTGGAAAGAGATACACATAGGTGAATATTATGCATTGAGGTCCATTCAACACATAGATGTGGTTGTTGTTGTTTTTTTACTTTGCTGTATTTGTGTTCATTTTGATTTTTGATTTGTAAGCAGAATTTAATGTAAGTATTTAAGAAAAAGTAATACATTGTTTAATATTCCAGTGACTTTTTCAGCCCACATTAGGAATTAAATTAAAGGGGATAGACACTTTGAGACAGAAAACACTATATTTGGCTTCATTTTAGCACTATTAAGCAATAGAAATGAAATAAATATATTTATATGACTGTCATCTTTAATTTTAGTACATGAATAGGTATGTTAAAAATAAGAACTATCTCAGATCCTTATCTGACAATGAATTCTTAGTTAAAACTTGATACAATTTTTGCTTCCAGGAAATACAGACATACATATACAGACATACATATAAATATGCATTCTATATATTTATTTTTATATTTAGGTTTCTAATTATCCTATTTTTTACCTAGGATTTCCCACCCAGAAGTATAGCTACCTTTGAGCAGTGACCATATATCATATAAGTTTTTCAAAAATCCCCAATTTCTTCTTATAACAATTATGTAGGAAAATTACAATCATGATTATTGAAAAAGTGAGAAAATACTATCATTTCTTTGCATCTCTATTCTCCATTGCTCAACCCTTCCAAAGGAAGACAAGAAGGTGACTGAGCTGGTTTCATATTTTGTGAGTGAGGTACAGAAAGGAACCTGAGAACAACTACAAAAAGTTTTTAGCTATTCCACTTTTGAGATGAAACCTGATATAGATAGAAAGATAGAGAGATAGAGAGATGATAGATTAGAAAGATATAGATGATAGATGATAGATGATAGATGACAGAGAGAGAGAGAGAGAGAGAGAGAGAGAGAGAGAGAGATGATAGATAGATGATAGATAGATAGATAGATAGATAGATAGATAGATAGATGATAGATAGGTAGGTAGGTAGGTAGGTAGGTAGATAGATAGATAGATAGGACCAAAACTCACTTTGAAGCAATATTTGTGAGTTTGAACAAATAATTTTAGAAAGTTTAGTTGAAAAAAACTTAGGCGAGAACCATTATGTACTTACTACACAAAATTATTAAAATTTTTGAAATCTGAGTTTACTGACATATCCCTTAAATTCAGCAAAATTCTCATAATAATAGACTAAGTCAAGTGTTATTTAAAACAACCCAACCCCCAAAATCGTAGAATTTAGAAAAATATGTTTTGACCCAATATTTAAAAATTGCCAATGTTTCACAATGTTTAAAAACCGACATATGTATTATTTCTATTTGTCAAAGTCAGGGCCAGATAGAAAGTATATTACAGATTTATAATGAGAACTGTAATTCCCTAATTCACCAGATAAAAAAGGCTACATGCCTTTAATAGATACTAGAAGAGTGAGGATGCCAGAAGATGCTGATTAGTCTCTTAGTTGTCTGTCATTCTTCCTTTTTCTATTTGGTTTATCCCATGGTCTATAACCTTGCTACATGTGCCTTGTCCATGGATTTGCCACATGGGATTCACTTAAGAGTTTGTTAGAAATGCAGAATTCCAGCTCCCACACTAAACTTCCTGAATCGGAATTTTTTTTAACAAGATCCCTCGTGTGATTCATATAAACATTAATTTTTGAGAAACACTTAATTTTCTATCATGGTACAATTAACATTCAATAGTAGATCTCAAACAGATGTAAAAAGTGTTAGCTACTAGAGCCTAACATGGCCTGGTGCAACTAAAAAAAAAAAAAATACATTTAAGCTAGCTTTTTATTTTCTATCCTTTCTTCCACCTTTAAGGGCTCCTATGATTAGTTAAGGCCCATCTAAATGATTAAGGCTAATCTCCCATCTCAATTTCTTTAAATGTGATCACTTCCACAAAGTTCCAAGGACTAGGTTCCAAGGATTGGGAGATGGACTTCCTTGTAAGGGATGGCGAGGGTGGTATTTCACCAACTGTAGAATGATGCAAAGTTTATAGTGACATCTTCCATATCCGTCCCTAATGAGAGTCACCGAACTCCGTGGTAATGGCATCTCATTTTTATTTGGAATACGTTATAGGGACAGATTGGAGGAAGATCTATGATTCGATTGAGATGTTCCCTGAATTAAGAGCCATTCAGGAGCAATGTGTTTTTACAATGGCCTCTCCGTATTCACTTACTCTCATAGGACTCTGTGGACACATGTCTTTATGTTTTTTTTTTTTTTTACATAATTTTAATTTATCTAATGCAATTGACTCTCTTGAGTTTAATATGTCTCTAGCATAGCATAGGTCTCTGATAGGACAAGTAAATCAAATGACAATGAAAAACTCACTCGAAAGCTGCCACAAGGGTTCATGAGTATAAATAATGATTTCAAAGTACACATAATCATAGAACTGGAATAATGCAAACAACCAAATATATCAAATTGCCTAAATGACAGATACATTAAACAAATTCAAAAAAGTTCTCCACATTTTACTGGTCATGTCTTTGTTACAAAATCATGTGAACTGCCTATAACTTTAAGAAATAGTAGATAAACGAATGATCTTAAACGAAATCCTGGATTCACAAGTCTCTTTTTGGCTAGATACTCTGTGGATCGGCACACTGATATGGAGCGGATTTTCAGTATCAATGCAGAAAATGGCTCAATTTTCACTTTGAAGCCCCTTGACCGGGAATCGTCTCCTTGGCACAACATCACCGTTACAGCCACAGAAATAAGTAAGTTGGAACGCATCCATCTGAACACATTTTTCTTTTTACCGAAGTGGTAAAATAATGGGAATAAGTAAATTTTTTACTTTTCTGGAATGGAATGGTTTTATTATTAGCAAGAGCTGAGAGAGATGATTTAGATTGTATTAGATTCAATTTTTAACTTAATGAATATAAATATTCATTTATTTTAAACAATTTACACCTTCTATAGTATAGAAATATAATTTAACTGCATGAAAATAATTATCAGTCTAAGAAAATTCTCTCTTAGAAATAATACTTTATTCTCAATCATAATCTCCTCTTTTTATCACGCTTTCCATCTGGACCATGTAAGAAAGCTGAGATATCCATCAGCAATCCAATCAAGTAGTGAATACCACAGAAATGATCTGTTGCTAAGTTACAAAGGGGGAGAGTGGTATTAGCGCTTCTCTGTAAATGAGACTGAAATCTTACACGTGTTCTCGTTGCAGATAACTCAAAACAAAGTAGCCACATTCCTGTCTTCATCAGAATTCTAGATATAAATGACCATGCTCCGGAATTTGCCATGTACTATGAAACATTTGTTTGTGAAAATGCAAAACCTGGGCAGGTAAATAAATTATTATAAACTTTAAAAATAATATTTCTTCTTCATGAAGGCAAATGACATTCACTTGCACATTGTTTTTCATGCAAACTACTGTCAATTCTTCATATTACTTGATTATTGTCCCTTACCAAAAAACACAATAATCTTAAAATTGCTTTTGTTATTCAGTTTATGCTAAATAGGAAAAGTTATAACATATGCTTTAATTTATATACCATCTACATAGCAAATATCACATGTACCTGAACTCATAATTATGTCGATACTGAATTATCTTCAGAATGAAAAAACATTATTAAATAAAAGATAAAATATGACAATAAAATTGTTCTATGTTAATGTAAAGGGAATCATAATAACTGTTTTGTAGATTACATTATGCCACTTTTAATCGCTGTCAAAACATTTTGGTTTAATATGTTATGTTTTGTTTGTGATTTTTCAATTTTAATATTAGTGAGATAAAGATTGTTTGAAGAGATAGAAAGTCCCCTTACTAAGTAACATTTCAGATATCTCTAAAGAAATTTTAAGCAAATGCAGAATGTTTATTTTTGACACTAATACAGTATTTTAAAAATGACAGTAACTACACACATTGTACTGAAAGAGACTTTTACCAGTCATTTAGATATTTCTTTAAAGAAAAGTAGGTGGATGTTAAGAATCCTATATAATGCCATCATGTCTTTTTAAATATAGAAAATAAAAGTAAAATACAGTCTTCTATTCCAGTAGAGATTAAAATGGACTGAATGATTCTGTCCCTGCCTAAACTTACATGTTGAAGCCCTACGCCTCAATATGTATTTGGAGATGGGGCCTCTAGGGAAGCAGTTAAGGTTAAATGAGGTCTAGAGAGTGGGGTTCTGCTCTGATAGGACCAGTGTCCTTTAAAGAAGAGATACCAGAAAGATCACTCTCTCTCCATGCATATACTCAAAGGAAATATTATTTGAACATGTAAGAATAAGGCAACCATCTCCAAACCAGGAAGGGATCTCTCTCTAGAAGCTCACAGTACCAGTACCTTAATCTCAAACTTTCAACCTCTAGAACCGGGGAAAAATAAATTTCTGTTGTTTAAGCCACCAAGTATGTGGTACCTTGTTATGGCAGCCCAAGTAGGCTAAGAAAAATATATACTACATTCCTCTTACATACAAAAATTAAAATAAGATTTTTTATTATCAACAAAGAATCATTACGCAGTTATTTGGATTAAAAATTGTATTCCTTCTCTCACTTTGCAACATGTAATGGGCATATTTTCAGTTTAATAAGTGATTATTTTTAATTTGAATCTTCAGTATCATAGCATAGACATACATTAATTAGATTATTTATCTACACACCTATTAATAGAAATTTGGTTTACCAACAAAATGTTACTCTAGGAGACAGCACTATAATATGTATTATAGTACATTCATATTTATACACTACCCAATATTATTTTCCTTTGATATAATTCTCAAAGTAGGAATAATTAAATTTTATCTGTGCTCATCTATGTGTTCAAATAGCTCTCCAAATACGTCATATACCTAGTGATAACTCTCATCACATGTAAATAAATAATTGTCTATTTATTGAGTAACAGATATGAATGTCTGCCAATAACAGGAAATCCTCTGAAATTATTGAAGCTAAATATTTTTTCATAAATATGTGGCCTTTTAAATAAAAAGTTTTCACAGATAACATCATATTAGTTTTTTAAACCTACCCTGACAAATTACCACAAACTAGACAGCTTAACAAGAACAGAAATGTATTTTATTCTCACCCCCAGTCTGGTGGCTAAAAGTTTAACATCAATGTGTCAGCAGGTTCATGTTGTCTCTGAAAGCTGTAGGCAGAGATACATTCTTGCCATTTTCTAGCCATACCTTGATTTGTGAACCCAAATTATTCTAATCTCTGTCACCATTGTCATTCCTCTGTCTTTCCATGTCCAAATTTTCCTCTTCGTATGAAGACTCCATTTATTTGATTAAGGCCCACCTTAATCCAATATAGCTTCATCTTAACGGAACTATATCTGCAAAGAGCCTACTTCTAAATAAAATTACATTTGCAGGTACTGGGCATTAGGAGTTGAACATGTATTTTGGAGAGACACATGTCCAATGACAATAGCCTGTGGGTATTCTTTAATTATTTGTCTATTAGTATGTTTTTCTTGTATTGATTCACATGAGTTATTGATATGTTACAAATTAATGTTTGATAATAATAAAGTATAACTGATATGAACTAATTGTAATTATTTTAATACATACTACTATTACAATTTCTATGTCATTGTTAATAGAATTGATTAAAAACAATTTTCTTTTAAAAAAATACAAAGTTAAGAATAAAATATCTTTTAAGATACTGTTATCTATTCTCTCTTAAAATATGTTTACTCAATGGTCTATCACTTCATTTCAAGAACTCAGAGTCATAATCAAAATATGAATATTATTTATGATTTAAAATATTACTAAATATTAAAAATATTTTTGCTATTCTGGAACAGAATGTTGAGCAAGAATATAAGTATTATGTAAATGTTTTCTATGTCACATTACAAACTAAGGAGAAAAAGTGATTTAAGTGCGTATTACTAATTGTGCACGTTTTGGAAGCATTGTATAAAATCACATTAGGTTACGTGTCACTCTGCCAATCAAATAAATGAAATTATGGTTAATATCAAATATTAGAGAAAAGGTCTTGACTAGTGAACATACAAGTTGGTATGCCTACATAATAACGAAAACAATGGATACATCAAACAACTGTGAAATTCCAATAATTGTTCATCAAAGAATGTCAAATTATTATACCTGTAAGTGGTGCAACTGTTTGTTTTTGTAGAAGTGAAATTTGAAAGTAAGAATAATTAAAAGGCTGTGATTTCAAATCACACAGATGGCAGACTCAGGACTAGAAAAACAGGCTCCCCGATGAGTAGCTTGGTGTTTTTTCCACAATAAAATGCTTGGTGAAATTTTTGTGCCCAATCTGTCATTTGATGCTCTAGTCATCACACTACTTACAGTGAGCACAGCTAAGAGTTCTATGATTTCTCAACTTTGACACTGATTTTTATGAAGCTTTAGAAGTATTTATTTGTATATCTTTTTAAACTTTGCAAATACCATTAAAAGGCAAGCAAATAATTTTAATAAAATATGCAATATAATTAAGTTAAGGTGTCCCATAGCTCTAAAAATCTTTTGATTTCTGGTATTATATGACATATTGCTCATTCTCAAAAACTATATTAATAGTATTCTCTATGTAAGTGATTATGCTAAGCCCTTGTGTTTTTTTTTTAAAAATGCATGTTACATTCTCTGCCTTTGAGATAAACATTATGCAGTGGAAGAGGCAGCAGATTGGCAACTGGATAACAGAACAGACTAGTGCTTTCTAACAATGTTAAAAAATGATACATGTTGGAGTGATCAAATTTTCTTTAAGGTTGGACACTGAAGTGTCCAGGAACCAGATAATGATTCATAGAGATACGCTATAAGCTAATAGTTGATGGATTTTTTTTTATTAATTAAATATGTTTCATTAGACAGAACTATAAAAAAATCTTGGTATAATTTTCTGAAAAATGGCATATTTTTGTGTTTTTAATTTCAGTGATATATTTAAAACAAAAACACTAAATAAAAATGTTTTATAATAACAAGACTTGCTTTTTATTCTGCTTAATTTAATTAATTTATTTCATTTCAGTTGATTCAGACTGTCAGTGTCATGGACAAAGACGACCCTCCCCGAGGACACAAATTCTTCTTTGAACCAGTGCCAGAGTTTCCTCTCAATCCGAACTTCACTATTGTTGATAATAAAGGTATAGAACATTTTTTAAACAACAAGAAAAAAGTATGAGACCTTAAGATGCAAAATCAAAAACTGTTCTGATTTTTTCCCCA